ATGGAGGGCAGGGGGGAGATCACAGGACCACAGGATGGGACGAAATTAAAATTGCTAATGAAGTGTTTCGGGCACACAATGTCATTGATAACATCTTTTTTTTTTAATTATTATTATACTTTAAGTTTCTAGGGTATATGTGCATAACATGCAGGTTTGTTACATATGTATACTTGTGCCATGTTGGTGTGCTGCACTCCATCAACCTCGTCAGCACCCATCAAACTCGTCATTGTACATCCAGATATAAGACTCCGAATGCTTGTGTCTCTGCCAGGCTTTGGTATCAGGATGATGTTGGCCTCATAAAATGAGTTAGGGAGGATTCCCTCTTTTTCTATTGATTGGAATAGTTTTTCTTATCAGGAAACAGGATTTGAGAGCAGACAACCTGTCTGACCAAAATTTATTAGGTGGGAATTTTCCTTGTCCTAATAAGCCTGGGAGTGGTACAGGAGACGGGGGCTTGTTTCATCCCTTCAGCTACAGGAGATGGGGGCTTATTTCATCCCTTTAGCTTTGACCATAAAAGATGGCACGCCTTTAGGGCGTCATTCATAGGCCTACCGTCAGGGCGCATTCTGTTTCTCAGGGATGTTCCTTGCTGAGAAAAAGAATTCAGCGATATTTCTCCTATTTGCTTTTGAAAGAGGAGAAATATGGCTGTGTTCCGGCCAGTTCAAAGTTACCTCTCTTGTTCCCTGAACATCGCTGTTAACCTGTTCTTTTTTTAAGATGCCCAGATTTCATATTGTTCAAACACACATGCTCTACAAACAATTTGTGCAGTTGACACAGTCCTCACAGGGTCCTGAGGCTACATTCATCCTCCTCAGCTTACGAAGAAGATGACTGAAGGGATTAAGAGATTAAAGTAAAGATAGGCATAGGAAATCACACGGGTATTGATTGGGGAAGTGATAAGTGTCCACAGAATCTTCACAATTTATGTTCAGAGACTGCAGTAAATACAGGCATAAGAAGTTATAAAAGTATTAATTTGGGGAACTAATAAATGTCCGTGAAATCTTCACAATTTATGTTCTTCTGCCGCGGCTTCAGCTGGTCCCTCCGTTCGGGGTCCCTGACTTCCCGCAACAAGTACCCTTTAAACAATTGTATCTAATAGTCAGTGTATGTTTGTTATAAATATTGAAAGTAAAACCATGAGAACCTAAGGTAGACAGTGTAGCAACTTTCTTTAAAGGGTCATTGCTGGAATACCAACATAGGCCTCATCCTTCCTCCCTGAATCTAGGCACCATCTTTTCAAAAGGAGTGAAAAGAGCCTTATACATCTCTTGTCTTTTTCCCCGCAGAAGGTGAACGGGCTTTGCCATCAATACCAAAGTAAGTACTGCTTTTTTTTACTGTTATTTTGTTTTGTTGGGAAGTTTAAGGAAATTTCCATGCTTTATTCATTTTCCTAAAAAAATTAAATTCAGTATACATGATCAAGGAACTAGGAAACAATTCTAGAAAGAAATCAAGTCAGTTTTAAATTTTATTAAGTATTTAGGCTTAATCAAAAAGTTTCAGTTTTTCCTTTAAGTTCTATGGGAGAGCTAAAGAATAATCATAATGTCGAGAGCCTGTTGTTAAACATTTGCTTCATATGTTATTGCTAATCTTTACAAGAACCTGAAAATATGTGGCATTCTGGCTATTTTACAAGTATGAAAATTAAAAGAAATGATTTATGTTAATTTTCTTGTTTATTTCCTGAATTTCATAGTAGGTGTGTTGATCTACAAAATTAAAAGAATCAAATAGTAATACCAAAATAACTTATATAATTTTATATTCTCAGCCAATTTGCTAGGAACTGGGGACTAAGATATGAGTGCTAAAATCTAGGCAATCAGATACACAGGTAAACACACAGTTATAGCTGTGTGGTAAGTGCTTGCAGAAATGTTTGCACTTTCCAAGACACTAAAGAGGAACAGTGAGCCTAAGAGGCCACTGGAATAGAGAGGGTAAGGCCTGAGCTTTGTTCTGTCCCTCTCCTTGTTCTCCGTAGCCAGTCCATTACTATTTCCTCCAGTTCCATGTTCTAAATGGATCCATCTGCTTCACCACCTTCCCACTGTGTCTCCCCTGTGTTTAGCTATCTGGGCTACCCAAGTACACTCCTGTGTTGGGGGTCCCCAAGATCTAGGAGTCACAAGACTCAGCTATGATGTATTACAGCAGATAGATACAAAGCAGAATCAGCAAAGGATGAAGGCGCATGGGGTGAAGTCCAGGGAAAACCAGACACAAGCTTCCAAGGGTCCCTTCCCAATGGAGGCCACAGGACACTCTGAATTCCCCAGCAATGGATTATGACGACCTGTGTGAAATATTGCCTACTGAGAAAGCTCGATAGAGACTTGGTGCCCAGGGTTTTTACTGGGGGTTCTTTATACGTGCACACTCTGCCTGGCATGCATCCAAACTCCAGACTCCCAGAGGGAAAGCAAGAGTTCAGCATAAACCACATTTTTTGTACAAACATTTTAGGCATAGTGTACCATACCTGTCAGGGGATGGTGGCAACTCCGTGAAAATCCGAGTTCCCAGATACCAGGCAAGGGACAATCGTGTAAAGTCAGTCACAGTCCTGCTACATTAACTCTTTTCTGTGTGCTAAATTAGTCTCTCTCCAGTGTTGCTCCTTAGCCTATCCGTGCTCTGTGCTACAGCTTGAGGAAGCTTTCCTAATTAAGTATCTTAGATGACCTACTCTTGCTCTTAGGATACTTTGCAGTATTCTTAACCTAGCTTTCAGGAGCCCGTGTGATTGTTCCCTGCTCACTTTAGCCTTGGTTTTTGTTACTCCTCATACTATTCCTCAGGTACACTGAACTTTTTTTTGAATTCTAGGAGCAAACATCCTTTCTTTTCCCTGAAGGTCTTTGCCAGTATTTTGTCTTTGCATGATTCACTCTTCTTCCAACCCGCTTTTCCTTGCTAAGCCCTACTCATCTTCTAAGTCTCATTCTACATCACTTCCTGTAGAAACCTCATTGACCCACCCACAAGCCAGGAGAGCATCCCCATCATGTTTTCCTATGATCGTTTCTAGTTATTAATTGCCAGAGTCCTAAACATGGCCTTTTAACCTGTCTGCCCTCCCCGGGCAACCTGGCGAGTTGCTGACAGCCAAGGTCATATGCAGTACTATGGGCCTCGCGCAGGCAGGGTCTGCAAGTGGCTGGTGCACCTCTAGCTTTGGACAGTGCACTCTACAGCATCAGCAGTGTCTGATAGAGGTTCATTTGGGGTCATATCAGGGCAGGAACTAATGTTTATTTAGTGTACCTTTAGTTGTGGGAAGTTAAGGGATAATTTTGGGATTAAAATCAAAGCTGGTCAATGTGGTGTGTTCCTGTGGTTCTGAGGCTGAGGCAGGAGGATCACTGAAGCCCGGGAATTTGAGGCTGTGGTGTACTGTGATCATGCCTGTGAATAGCAACCACATTTTAGTCTGGGTGACTTCATAAAACTCCACCCCATTTCTTACAGACACACACACATATAGAGGAATCGTGAACATAGGTATGAAAGTGAGTGAGGAAGGTAGTACATTAGAAGTGTTAACAGATACAGGAAACTAAATAAATGAAGCAAACTTTACAAGAGTGGAATTTCCACAAATCTTAAAGCATCAGGACACCATTATTGCTATTGATCAGATAAGTGCTGAAATCCAAGCTATCGTGATAAGGTTGCTTAGCGACAGCATACATGATTGTGATGCGGACAAAGGAAAACCCCAGTGTTTTGGCAACAGAACAAGGAAGGAAATGATGTAATTTGTTGATTTAAAATGTGTGTCCTCTGACTGCCCAATATAGTTCAAAGGTAAGTTGTGATAAATCATGTAGCTGCAATGGAAGAGAAAGTAATGAGTTGTTAGAAAACAATTTTGATTAAATTTTTATACTAAAGATATAAAATTTCAAATATTTGGAGAATTCTGTAAAACGAACACAAGTCTATGGCTGTTTGCCGTGATTATTATAGAGATTATACAGTTTCACATTAAATAGTTATAGTGCTTCAAAACGATGTACAAGTTGAGCATTTCTAATCTGGAACTTCAAAGTTCAAAATGCTCCAAAATTTGAAACTTTTTGAGACCAACATGTTGCAGCAAGTCGAAACTTCCTCACCTGACCTCATGTGTAACAGGTTGCAGTCAAATCTTTGTTTTGTGCACAAAGTTATTTAAAATATTGTATGGAATTACTTTCAGGTTACATGTATAAGGTGTATATGAAACATAAACAGATTTCATGTTTAGACTTGGGTCCTATCCCCTAGGTTCCTCATTATGTATATGCAGACATTCCAAAATGCAAAACATCTGAAATTTGAAACACTCTATCTAGTTCCAAGCATTTTGAATAAGAGATACTCAATCTATATTGTTTTAAGTGTCAGTATTTCATCTGGAAAAGGTTTGTTTTTATAAAAAGACCAGGTAACTTTGACATCTAAAGACTGTGTGGTTCCTTTTTTCCCTGTGTTTTGTGTTTTACTAACTGTACTTGCATTTTTTAAATGGCAGAAAGACTTTTGGCCAAAATTTTATTTTTTGTGGGTAAATATGTAAAACTAGCATTAAACCATTTCATGAAGCAAGTAGCAAGATACAATGAGATTACTTTTTTAAGTATGTAAGTAATAGTACATATTAATATATTTCTTGATAATTTTTACATGCCGTAAGTTTAAGAAGGACCAGTCATACTATAGTATTTCATATTATGTTTTAGAGAGCAAAATTTACTTCCAGGTGTATGGTTTTTCTCTTATAACTTTGGGGCAATCCTTTACTGTGTAGCATTTACATTTACATTTTTATTTAACCTATTCATACCAGATTAAATTGTATTGCATTGTTTTAAATTATTGTCAAGAGTATCTTTCTCACAACAGTTCAACATTCCTTCAGTTGTGTATTTTAATTTCTGATCTTTAAAGCATTAAAGCGGCCTGGCTATTTTAATAGAATCCAATTTTTAAAGAAATCACCTGTCTAAATTTTGTCTTCCTCATCCAAGGCAGTTCCCTACTTGATGAGGCCGAGTGGTGGGGTCCTGGGGAAATTGCAGGGCTTACAGCTTTGCTTTTGTCTGTCACAGGTTGGCCAACAGCGAAAAGCAAGGCATGCGGACACACGCCGTCTCTGTGTCAGGTAAGGGGCTCTAGGTAGCAGACCTCGAAAATCACTCTCATGGGGTAAGATGATCATAGATGTCTATTTTTGGTATAATTGCTTCATTCTAGAATAGCTTATGAAAATAAGCATTCTGGCTATCCAAATTTGCATAATTTTACCATCATTAAATAGTTTTCAGTATGGCTCATAGATTTTATTTTTTTAGATGGGACATAGGTAAAATACCAGATCACTCAGCAAGTTATATAGAATTCCAAATTATTTTTGGGTTTTAATAATATCATGTTAATCATATCCAGAATGAAGTTGCCATTATAATTTATCTTTGCAATTCAGTAGAATATACTTTGCATATTTATTTTTTGAAGTTCAGGAAATATGAGATATTTTAAAACAATTTTTGTATTTCACAATTAATATGCTGTTTGAATACTGCTTTTTTAAAAATATAGTTATGATACTGGCATGAGCATTATCTTAACTATTTGCTGGTGCGATTGTGTTGTACTTTCCTTGGTATGTTTCAAAATAGATATGCCTTTTTCCCCATTTAAAAATGTGGGAAATAAAGGAAAGGGGGAGGATGAGAAATCATCTTCTGTGGGCCCATTTGATATCTTAAAATACATATGCAAATATATACATCTGTATATGCACATATATACATACATAACCATATACGCACATATATAATTTGTTCTTATGTGCATACATGTGTTACATTTCTGAAATAATAGTTTCCTTTTAACTTTAGCATCTCACTTAGAAAAGACCCAATTCCTATTTATTTTGAATCAGTTTTTTTTGAGACAGAGTCTCACTCTGTCGCCCAGGCTGGAGTGCAGTGACGTGATCTCAGCTCACTGCAACCTCTGCCTCCCAGGTTCAAGCAATTCCCCTGCCTCAGCCTCCCAAGTAACTGGGATTACAGGCACCCACCACCACACCCTGCTAACTTTTGTATTTTTAGTAGACACAGGGTTTCACCGTATTGGCCAGGCTGGTCTCAAACTCCTGATCTCAGATGATGCACCTGCCTTGGCCTCCCAAAGTGCTGGAATTATAGGTGTGAGCCACTGGGCCTGGCTTCCTTGTTTGTTTTTCTTTTTAATTGTGCACAAATGTCCCATAAGCCCTTCCTCAAGAAGTATTCTTGCTTGTATTTGCACACTTGGCAAAGATACTCAATAAAGGTGAATGATGTGTGATACTGCCAAAGTCCTACTGCTTGGGAAATCATTGCTCACTTCCTCATTAAGTAGAAGGTTGGAGTGCTAGAGCTGGTCTTACGGACAGCTTCGGGGTTGCCAGCATGTTCTCAGGTAACAGTTAATCATCCTTATAAGCCTAGTTGTGACTTCATGGAGTAGCCCTAGTTTCCAGTAGTGACACTGGGGCACTAAACAACACTCAGCGTTTGCATTTGTTCAGTCTGTGGTGGGTACAGAGAGTTGGCGAACTTTCCAGGCCCTCATGGAGTTTGTAATCTAGTTGGAGAGAGAGAGACCACCACACATGCTACAGTCATAGGAGTCCGGAGGAGGGAGCAGCTGCTGGGCGTCAAAGGATGTTCTGCAGGATGTTCTGTAGAGTAGCTGAGATTTGAGCAGGGCTTTGAATAACTCACAGGCCCTTTGGTCCATCTTCTTGCCAAACTGTAAAGCAGCTTTTGGGATGAGCCCTGGGGACTTCCCTTTTGGTGCTTGCCACACACTGTCTCCACAGTCTCCCCAGACTTGATCAAGAGAGAAGGGAAATGTCCCATTATGTTAATAAGGACTATTTCTGGCATCTGTCTTTGGGTAACAAAGTAATGAAATGTAATAAAATAGGCCCCAGCAGTACCTTCAAATCTTTTTCCTCCTATTTTACTAATCTCTTTTAATCAATACTCTCCTTTCAAGGTTTAAACCTCAGATGTGTCTTTTAGCAGCTGGTCACCTCCAAACTTTTGGATTTTACTTCTTCCAGCCAACCCCCACTTTATGATCTCAGTGTTTTCATCCTATTTCAGAACCCCGTTAAGAATAAAGTTAGCTGGCATTTTATGAGTACTTTTGTAGATACTGTGTTCCAGGCTCAGGTTTATGTTCTGTGTTCTTGTATATGTATCATCTCATTTAGTCCTTACAACAAATCTATAAGATAGTTTTTCTTATTGTATAGCTGAGGAGACTGTGTCCCAGAGAGGTTAAATAATTTGCCCAAGGTTACACAGTTGCTAAAATCTGGAGTCATTATTCAAACTCTAATGTCTGGCTTTAACACCCACCTGAATTACTTGTGATCCTGCTTTCATTGTTTCTTCCTAGGTATTCCTTAACTAGGAGTTCATACTTCAGTACCTTCTCCATGTTAGTTCTTAGATTGCTACCATGTTGATTTAAATAGGCAGTTCTCTGGTCAGAAACTTTTAGTAATAATTTAGTATCCATCAGATGAAGTTTGGGCTCCTCAGCTTAGCCCTCCAAGACCTTTCATTATCTGCCCACCACCCACCTTTCCAGTCCTCCCTCGCCTCCTCATCTACATTGTTCTTTAGCCAAAAAAAGTTGGTGGCTGTGCCTCTCCCAACCTCCTTATCTCTGTTGTTCTGCTTGAGCTATTCCATCCAGACTTGCTCTTTTCATCATTACATGTAAAAATATTTTCACTTTCAGAGTTAGTAATACTTCTATATATGACTGTCACTTAGGTAATTTAAAATCCAAGCAAAGAATAATTGGTGTCCAGTGGATATTTAATGACATAGCATTAATTGTTCAGTCTCTTGTTTGTCCTTAGTCGTTCTACCTACTACTTGCTCACTTACGTGGAAACCAAACAAGTGTGGCATATTTCTTTTCTTGCATTCCGGCCCTCCCTCCCTTCCTTTCTCCCTTCCTTCTTTCCTTCCATCATCCTGACATTCAATGGTGTGTTATGTTTCTATCTTCCACAAAAACTATAAAACGTAAAAACTGACCAGCCTAGCTGGGCAGGAACCAGTGCATTGCATTTAGCCCCAAAGCTGGTAATTGACATTTATAGGGACATCTTTGTTAAGCCAATACCTAGAAAAACAGTAATATTACTAAATCCCAGGGTTATTTCTTACCTGCCAACCTGGAAACACTGTACTATGTGGGATGTAGTACTGACACACCATGGCAGAGGCCCTACTGCTCCTGGATCCTTGTGATATTCTGCATGTGCTTCTCCACAGTGAGCCTGTTCAGTGTCTAGGATAGTAGGGTGAGGCTGCAATCAACTATATGCCAGCTACAATTACTTGTTTTTCTGTCATACGATAGCTCATTTAACCCCTAACAAGCCCTAAGGGATTGATGAGACCTCACTTTTACATTAATCCAGCCAACAGGTAGTTCTTGAGTGCCTGCAGCATGCCAAGCACAGAATTCTAGATACTGGAGTTTACTAGAACACAAAGCCACGTCCCTCCCTTTATGGAGTTTACGTTCTTGTGAAGGAGTCAAGCCATAGATAGTAAATTAAAATAAAGCAGGTAAATTGAGAGCAACAGGAAAGCTGTTTAAAATTGTAATCTGTATGACAATAAACCTGTACATGTATTAACTCTTGTGGGATTGTAAAGCCCTTCATAAATGCTAAATATTATTTAATCCCACAGTGGCCTTGCAAGGTCTTTATTGTCTCTCCATTTCACAGATACAAAGAATTAAATTCAGAAAGGTAAGCAAACTTGTTCAGTGTCACACAGCTTGAAAATGATGGCACTAGGATTGGAACTCAGGTCATTATTACCCTCTAGGCTCTACTGCCTGTCATGAGCAATTTGAGAGTTTACTCCCCTGTACTGATGAACTACTGTTACACTCCCAAGTGTCGATGAAGGTGGAGAGTCTTTGTGGGATTTGTCTGTCTCTCCCATTTTTCTTCACAACCAAAGAGTTCTTACCTCACCCAAGCCTGAGTTCACTTGTCAGTACCTCATAGAAACCTTTCCTGACTACTTTAAGAAGATCTGGACTCTTCCTCCTCAGAGCACTATACATTTCTCTCTCATGCATAGTCCTACAACGGATGTCATTGTGTTTTAGAAACCATCTTGTCCATAAAACCATGAACCCATTGCATGTAAAGACATGTTCTGTTTATCTCTTTATTGTCTGGGATATTAGTTTTATAATTGTTTTTAAATAAATCCATTAACTCCATAAGGTATGGAGGTATGCTGGGACTTAGAGGAATGCATTCTGGGTAGTGGGAATAGACAGCAGAAAGGCAGGAATGTTTGGAGCAATGTCACTGGGGCTCTCAAGGGGTTACCTGTAAGCTTGTCACTGTAAATTGTTCTAGATTTTTTTCCTAGGAATCATTGTAAATAGTTCTAGATTCTTTCCTAGGAGATGTTGGGCAAGGGAGGAGAGGATAACCAACAGAAAAAGTGAGAGTCTAGATAACTTTAGGACAGTTTGCAGCTCTTAGTGGATCTCTCTTGATGGCAAATAAAATAATATCCTTACATTCCAGAGAGAAGATACCAGGTACTTTTTCATTATTCATTGCAAAATAAAGGTAGTTATTGGATCACCTTCAGTAAGATTGCAATGACAGTTGATGTTGAATATATGAACAGTGTATCTTTGAAATTCACACAGTATTTCTCTATAAAAATAAGTGTAAGATTAACAGAGATTTACAAAAATATCGAACAGAACAACATGTTTTCCTGCCTATATTCTTCTGAGAACGTAAAGAGGTCTTTTTTTAGCCTAATTATTAAGTTATAAAGAAACTTGTGGTTATTGTGGAGCTCAGGTACAACTTAGAACATATCTGAAATTCGAGTGCTTCAGTCTTTCATAAAGTATGCTGAAAGAGGAGATGTGGCATCTACGGGGAGGGGGTGCTTAAACAGTGGTAGTGTGGGTTAAAATTACCCTAGAAATCAGATAGTTCCAAATCAATGAGTAAAGCTGTATTTTAAATATTTTGAAGGTATAAACTTGGGGTTTTTGTTTGGTTGATTATTGTGTTTGGGGTTTTTTTTT